GACAAGCACACAGAGAGAGAGAACACACGGAGCTCGAGCACATGGAGTGAGCATACAGAGAGAGAGAACACAAGGGGGGCAAGAATTCAACTCATTTAGTAGAGTGCTGGCCTGACATACAGGCTGAGCCGTGGGTTCAGTTCCCACTATTACATAAAACAGGGTGTGGTGGTACACACCTGTAATCCCAGCACTTGGGAACTGGAAACAAGAAGATCATAAATTCAAGATCATCCTCACCTACAGAGGAACTTGAGGCCAGCCTACGCCACATAGCTCTTCCCCGCCCCACATCCACACACAGTTGCTAATAGCTAAACCTCCTGCTTACCTCCTGCTTGTTGAGTCCTTTATATATTAACTAGTATTTCCAGCAACTCAGTGAAATCGGTATTGTCATCTCCATTTCCTCTTGGTGCAATTCACCCATTAAACGTAAAGAAGTTAGGCGGGTGTGAGGGCCTTTGTCTGTGATCCTAGCACTTGGACGGCTGAGGCAGGAGGACCAGGAATTAAAGACCATGCTTAGTTACACAGTTTGTGGCTAGCCTCAGCTGCATGAAACCCTGTCAAAATGAATAAACAGCTTGGGAATGCGGCAGCCCGGCCGCACACCGAACACTGTTAAGTACCAAGCCACCTGCCGGACTTCCCTGTGGGGAACCTGCAGGAAGAAATAGAGAAGTGGAGCAGGGCATGTGATTTATGGGCCCAACGCTTCCCTTTCTGGAACCATAAAGCAGGGAGAAGGGGATCCCTTCTCAGTGGGAAGGGAGATAAGGTATTTTAGGAGAGCAGGCAGATGGGTGTTCCTTCTCCTTCCTGGGGTGGAAGCTTCAGGTCAGGGACTTTTTATTCCTAACTCTGTGGGAAATTCGTAAACCAGAGAGCTGATTACAGCGTCACGTGTGAGGACCATGAGGCGTGGGGCACAGGATCTCAAGAAAGCAACGGAGAAAAGAAGGAAGGGATGGAGAGAAGGGAAGAGAAGGTAAAGAAAGGGCAGGGTTGGGATAAGGATAGAATCTCTTTAGCTGGGCAGTGGTGGCACACACCTTTAATCCTAGCAGGTGGATCTCTGTGAGTTTGAGGACAGCTTGGTCTACAGAGCTAGTTCCAGGACAGTCAGGGCTACACAGAGAGACCCTGTCTCCAAAAACCAAAAAGAGAAAAAGATTCCTTCCTCTGCAGCAAAATCTTTCCTCTGCTGGCAAGAAGCTGCAAGATGAACCTACTTGTACCACATTCAAAAGAAGTCTAAATTAGTCCACTCTTCACCCTGTTTGTTTTTTTGTGGGAAGGCTGGATGGAGCTAGGGTCTCATGTATCCCAGACTCTTGCATTCTTGTTGTTTCTTCTTTCTAGGAAGCGGGTGAGGACCAGCCTCACAGTGTGGGTGAGAGGCTCCTGTCCCTTCTGGGGTAGGGGAGCTATCACTGTCCCTGCTTTTATTTCTTCTGTTTGACAAAGGAAGAGATGAAGGCCCTGCTGGTAGGTGCTTGTAACCCCAGCACCTGGGAAGCTCAGGCAAGAAGATGAATCCCAGTTCTGCCTGGGCTACATGCTGTCATCCTGACTCAAAAAAGCAGAAATAAACTGGGCATGCTAGTGTGTGCCCGTAATCCCAGCACTTCTGAGGCAGAGGCAAGAAGATCTTTGTGAGCTCGAGACTAGACTGATCTACATAGTGAGTTGTTGTGCATATAAACATGTTTTTGTTTTGGTCCCAGGTGTGGGATGTAGGGACTGATTCAGACGGTCCACAGGGGCAGACTATTTGATTCCTGCAGGCTCTGAGAGAAGCTCTTTGCCAGCTGCAAATAGTTTAAATCTGAGGATTCTGGAGAGAGAATAAATGCCAGAGCCCAGAGTGTGGAGATCAGAGCAAGAACTGAGACCAGGCCTGACCACACCCGAAAAAAGTCACCAATCCCAGGAACTAAGCTATAGGTCACCAATTCCAGGAACAAGACCATAAACTCCCCTACCCAAGAAATAGCCTGTAGATAACCACAAAAATGGGAAGGTGTCTTTTCTCAGTGTTGTGGGGCATCCATCTGTGCTGGGCAGCCCACTGACCTAACATCCTGAGGTGTATAGCTCCCTCAGTGTTAGTTTTGTTAGCTAGCCAATCACTTTGTAACAAACTTGCCCTTGCTGAATGTCACCCAGTCATGTAACTGCTAAGCTAGAATTTCCCAAACCATGCTGTAACCTTAAATAAAAACCCCTCTCTCCCTGAGCTCGGGGCTCTACACTCCAAGCTTCAGCTGTAATAAAGACCCTACTGCTTTTGCATCGGAATCAGCTCCTTGGTCGTCTTTGGGGTCTGCAAGACTTGGACATAACAGAACAATGCTGCTCATGCTTCTCCCATGGCTCCTGGTTGCTGTTGTGAGACAAGAAGTTGGAGATCTCCTGAAAGGAGGATTGGACTGGCTCCAAGGAACCTGATGATCCTAACCAGGAGGAAGCAACTAAGAAAGAAAACTACACCCCTTCTCTCTCCTAGCTGGTGTTGGGATGTTGGAAGGGATTGGGGTGGAGTAGGGGGGAAAAAGATATGAAATATATAAATAAAAGAGTTTAAAAAAAAAAGTACGCCTACAGCCTACAGTGAGTTCTAGGATGGACAGGGCTATGTAGAGAGACCTCTGTCTCAAAACAAACAAAGAAGAAAGAATTCACAAAATAATCCTTTTTTTGTTTTTTAAAACCTAAGCAATCAAACAAAAAGGGGCTAGAAAGGGCTGGCTAGGGGGTTCTGTAATGGTGCCTGTAATGGTGTCTGCTGTCAAGGCTGATGGCATGAGTTCAGTCCTCAGGACCCATGTGGTAGAAGGAGAGAACCAATCTCCACAAGTTGTCCCTCTGAAGCCCACAGTCGAATCATGGCAAATGGGCAAATGCACACACACACACACGTGCATGCACATACACACACACACACACACATTAAAACTATAACCTTGCCACACCCCCAAGGCTCAGGTACCACCATAGAGGATGGGGAGGAAAACCTGTAAGAGCCAGAGTTGAAGAGAACTTGAGAGAACATGTCTGTGGAAATGACAGGACCAATGAATTCAGGGGCTCCTAGTGCCTGAGTCAAGTCAGGCAACATTTCAGCAACGGAGGAGGAAGGAGTTCACAAGCCCCCACCTCTAACTGAGGAGCTATGGACAGTTAGTGGCTTCCAGGGGAGAAACTCAGATTTGGAGATTTGTTAAGGGTGTGGCCTCTGGTCGGTGACTCACTGCAGAGTGGATGGCCCTAAACTCAGGAGTATATGGGCAGCACACATTGGACTTGATGGGTTATGAGAGAGAGAAGGATAGAGGGAGAGAAGGAGGGAGGGAGGGACAGAGAGAAGACAGAGAGAATGGGGGAATAGGGAGGGATGTGGGGATTGATTTAGAGTTGGGAAGGGGGATGAATATGATCAAAGTACATTGTATGAATTTCTAGAAGAATTAATAGAATGCTATATTTTGGAGCTGGAGAAATGGCTCAGCAGCACACAGAATGTTTCTCTTGCAGAGGACCTGGGTTCACTTCCCAGCACCCACATCAGGCAGCCAACGACAGCCAGTAACGCCAGCTCCAGGCAATCCAACACCCTCTTCTGACCTGTAAGCCTTGCATGCACACAGTGCCCACACATACATTCATCTACCTACACACACAAACTTGAAATAATAAGCATTTAAGAGAAGGCCAGTCTCTGAGAGCATCTAGGAGTGAAGACGTTGGACACAGAACTTAACAGGACACACGTCGTGACCCAAGTTCCTAGATTCATGCCCTCTTTAACCCTGTGGCATGGAAATGGCCTGACCAGGACCACAGAGCCTGGGACAGAAGCCTGACACTGGGTTGAGGCCAAGGGTGTCAAGGACCTTGATCTCAGTGCTCAAGTCCTGCTCTAAGGTCCAATCAGGGCGACGTCCAGCCTTTCAAGTCCAGAAGCTGCCTCCTGCCTCCAACATGACTAGTCCTGCGACCTTGAGCAAGTCATTTGCCTCTAGGAACCTAATCTATGATACTGGGATAATTCCTACCTAGTAGTGAGGATGTGATAAAGAATCCATGAGAGGAAGCTGAAATGGCGTCCTGGGCACAGTGTCTGTCCCTTAGTACTCTGTGATCAGCAGCTGACAGTCATGACAACAGTTTGCCCTCAACTGTCACCTCACTGGAGTGTAGGACAGTAATCCCCACTGTCCCTAGTTTAAAGGAGATGCTATCCTCTGTGTGAGCTGCGGGGTCAGGACACATGGCACTTTTGTTATTCAAGGACCAGCCCAGCCCCACAGGGCTGGCAGCACACACCCAGTTCCCAGGAGCAGCATCGGAATAACAACCTCCATCCATCAATGACAGCATCAGTCCAACCTCACTTTATGGACCCAAACAGCTACTTAAGACTGGGAAGAGAAGGTGTGGGCCGGCTCTTCCAGGCTGCTGCTCAAAACAGGTAGGCAGCTGTGAGTGGGGATGAGAGGGCCCTGGGGCTTGCGAGACCAGGTTTCAAGGGGAAGCTCCAGGAAAAACTGGTGCCTCTGGGCTGGAGTTGGGCCTGTTTGTCTTGAGAGGAGGTCTTGCTATATGGCATGGGCTGGTTTTGAACTCTTGATCTCCTGCCTTGACTTCCTGAGTGCTGGGATTGTACACACGAATCATCATACCTAGTAAGTTGGGGCTCTGGTCCTCAACACTTCAGAATCTACTAATCCTAGGTCCAAAGGTAGAGGAAGAGCTGTGAGAAACCTCTGTGTGAGGGCCACGGAGCTCAGCTCACCTTGCCCAGCTCTATCCTGGCTTCAGCCGTGTTCCACAGAGGATAATCTATACAGCCTTTTAGCCCCTCGTCTACAGACACAGGTTGAAGATGAGTGACCAGGGATGAAGGGACTTCGCTTGGAGTGCTACGCTTAGTGATGGGAAGACGAGCAAAGGAGAGGACGGCTCTGTGAGCTCCTGCACCGGGTCTCGGCACCATGACGGTGTCTTACACTCTCAAAGTGGCAGAGGCCCGCTTCGGGGCCTTCTCCGGCCTGCTCCTCCGCTGGAAGGGCAGCATCTACAAGCTCCTATACAAGGAGTTCCTGCTCTTCTGTGCCTTGTACGCTGTGCTCAGCATCACCTACAGGTGAGGGCAGCTCCGAGCCCTGGCCGATGGGTCCTGTGCTGCCAGGCACCTCCCAACCCGAGGTCTCTGCCTGCCTTTCCCTAGGCTGTTGCTCACCCAGGAGCAGAAGCATATTTATGCCCAGGTGGCCCGGTACTGCAACCACTCGGCAGACCTCATCCCCTTGTCATTTGTGCTGGGTGAGGCCCCCTTCTATTCTTCCTGGTATCCTGACCTTGGGGCTGAGGTGACAACTCTGGACAGCAGGGGCTGGAGTCAACCAGTAGACAAAAGGGCTAGAGCCTGGGCCCACAGTTTCCTTCGGCCGTCATTTGCTGGGCCCTTAATCTTCACTGCGCATAACCCCACGATGGGCACAGAACGGAATCTAGAGAGAAGGGGTAGTCCCTCCCTACCCTCATGGTAAAGGGTCTCAGATTCCACTTCCCTCTTCCCTGGAAGTTTGTATTCTCTGCCTCCTCCTGGCCCGACTTTCCCAGCAAGGCAGCGGCACCAGAAGGGCACTAAGATGCAATGTAGTACCTCAACCCCTTTTTAGTGCCTGGCATCCTTCTTTCTGTCTCGGTTACCCATGGCGTCTCACTAGGTTTCTACGTGACTTTGGTGGTGAACCGCTGGTGGTCTCAGTACACAAGCATCCCGCTGCCGGACCAGTTAATGTGTGTCATCTCAGCCGGCGTGCACGGCGTGGACCAGAGCGGCCGTCTGCTCCGCCGAACCCTCATCCGCTATGCAAACCTGGCATCGGTTTTGGTGCTACGTTCTGTGAGCACTCGTGTGCTCAAGCGCTTCCCCACCATGGAGCACGTGGTGGTCGCAGGTGCCAGCAAAGCCGCACCCCCCTGGGTGGGTGGCCTCCTTATGGGACACTCCAGGACGCCAGGCTTGCCAAAGGGTTTAAAGGGAACATCCAGACGCAGGACCACTAGCGCCCCCTGGCGGCAGAGGGCGTGCGCCCCTTACCTTCTTCACGCCGGCAGGTTTCATGTCTCAGGAAGAGAGGAAAAAGTTCGAGAGCCTGAAATCTGACTTTAACAAATATTGGGTCCCTTGCGTCTGGTTCACTAACCTAGCCTCCCAGGCCCGCAGGGATGGACGCATTCGTGATGACATCACTCTCTGTCTCATACTGGAAGTAAGTCAGTTTGGGATCTGGATCCTTGCTTCCCTTTCTCTACCTTCAGAATAACCATGTCAGTACTTAGCCCTTAAAGTGCATCAGCTATCAGGATTACTCTCCGTAGCTCAAGCTTGCATGGAACTCACTAGTTAGCCCAGGCTGGCCTCAAACCCATGGCAATTCTGCCACCATCTACGCACTTTGAAAGCGTGTGCTTATACCGACTCACTTAGTTCTCAAAACAACCCTTGAGACAGGCACTGTAGTCATCCCGTTTTCACGGGGAAGGAAACGGAGGCCCAGGGTTGAGAAGCCCCTCACACAGCCTGTTAGTGAAGCTGGGATGGGATTCGGAGTCATTCTGGCTCCAGGTCCGGAATGTGATTTTTTTTGCTACTTTCCTAAATTTGCCTCCTACCCTAAGCACCGCAGCCTGCTAAGGCCTGAGAGCAGCGGAGCCTCAGGCCTGGCCCCAGTCTGCTGTGTGAGCATCCCGTTTTCTTCCTGGTCTCCTGTGACCTCCCCTTCATCCTCTTTCTCCAGGAGCTGAACAAGTACCGTGCCAAGTGCAGCATGCTGTTCCACTATGACTGGATCAGCATTCCCCTTGTCTACACCCAGGTAACTGCCCGGCTCCGCTGTGACATGCACGCCAAGGGGCAGAGAAGCCTCTGAGAAGTCAGTCTTGGAAAGCACTGAACTGCTGAGGGGCATCCTCTAACCCATCAGTAATACCATGTCCCTCATCCTCAAAAACCTTCCTCCAAACCGGTCAAGATGTCCCTGTCCTGCCACGCATGCTGGCACACATCTTTAATCCCAGCACTTGGGAGGCAGGTGATCTCTGTGAGGTCGAGGTCAGCCTGGTCTACATAGAGAGCTCCAGGACAGCCAGGACTACACAGAGCACTGTCTCAGAAACACACACACACACACACACACACACACACACACACACACACACGAGCCTGTCCCCATTACTTGCCAGACTTCTCCAGCCGCTCAGAGACAGGGACAGGATTTCTTGCTGAAGCAGTGTACTCCGGCCCTGGCTTTTCCTTCTTCAGGTGGTCACCATAGCCGTATATTCCTTCTTCGCCCTTTCCCTGGTTGGCCGCCAGTTTGTGGAGCCACAGACAGGGGCGGCCACGCTCCAGAGGCCTCTGGCGCCAGGCAATGAGACCTCTCCTGCTCTAGGGGACCTGGACATGGTCGTGCCTCTCACCACGCTGCTGCAGTTTTTCTTTTACGCTGGTTGGCTCAAGGTGAGTATGGCGTCCTACTCGGCCGAGGCGGGCACAGATCACTGCCATGCTGGGCCGTTGGGAAGGGAAGCTCAAAGCTTGAGAGACGCCGTTTCTGCAATCCATAGGTGGCCCAACAGCTCATTAACCCCTTTGGAGAGGATGACGACGACTTTGAGACCAATCAGCTCATAGACCGGAACTTGCAGGTGAGGTGTGGGGCAGGGGCCTGGGAGCAGAGAGCTGGCTGTGCAGGTGAGAAACGGCTTTGCCTGCTTCTTGCCCTCCTGCTGGCCCAGGTGTCCCTGCTCTCTGTGGATGATATGTACCAGAACCTGCCTCCCGCTGAGAAGGATCAGTACTGGGATGAGGCCCAACCTCAGCCACCCTATACGGTGGCCACAGCAGCAGAGTCTCTGCGTCCTTCCTTCCTGGGTTCCACTTTCAACCTGCGGTGAGTAGGGATTTGATATGGAAACTGATCCCTAGTCCCTGACTACCCTATGGGGATACAAACAAGTCCTCTGGGCGTCAATATTTGTCTCTGTCCGCCCTGGCGCCCGCAGCATGAGCGATGACCCTGAGCAGCGTCTGCAGATGGACGCGGCCCTGCCCACGCCTGCCACACAGACCCCGCTGCTGGGCCGCTTCCTGGGCGCAGGAGCGCCCTCGCCTGCCGTAAGCCTGCGCAACTTCGGCCGAGCGCGCGCTCCCAGGACCCCGCACCTGCTGCGCTTCCGGCCCGAGTCCTCCGGCGAGGAGGCTGCAGGCCGCATCGAGGAGGCTGCGGAATCTGGAGATGAGGCTCTGGAACCCTGAGAACCCCCTCTGCTGATGGCCACCACCCTGCCCTCTTCCCCAGCTGCGTTCGGTCCTATCAGCGGCCGCTTAGAGAAACTTTGGAAAAAGCCATTTGGGGGCAGCCCTTGAAAACAAATAGCGAGGAGTCAGCAGTAGGGTGGGTCTCCCTTGGCGTGGAAGTGGGATTGCTTGGGGAGGCGAAGCTAGAACGAAACGGCAAATATGTAGGACTAAGAACACAGAGGCAAGGTTACCTTGCCTGTTCCCAGGCCCTGGGGAGCTAGGCCAGTAGTCCCAAACACTGTCAGTGTCCCCGAAAAGGCATGCGGGGTGCCCAGGTCAGTCCCCAGCCTCTATGTGCTTTAATTGATTTAGAACCGAGTTCAGGAAGTGGCATTTCCAGTTCTTGGACAATGCTGTGCTGCTGGCCTGGGACAGCTCTCAAGATCAAGCTTGATATGACGGCACACATTCCTCACCCCAGGAACTTCACCCTGCAGGCAAGGCAATGAGTGTGCAGACCTTTATCTGTACTGCGTTTCTGTTTCTAATAATATATGCCCGTGTTCATTGTGAATTGATTAATTTGGCATCTGCTTAGGATACAGGTTGGAATCAGGTTTGGTAATTTGCCCCGGTGGCCCCGAATTAAGAGCATGTTGTTCTGGCACTAGCTCTCATGAAAACACGAGTCACAGGGAAGTTTTTACAACTCTGGCCTTCATGAACTAAGGAAGAAAGCGGAGAGAAACACTGGAGACTAGGACAGAATCTCACTAAACTGCCCAAGCTGATCTGCCTCAGTCTTTCAAATAGGCAGGAGTACAGGCTTGTGGCTCCGGGACCTCGAAGTGACACATGAGCTATGTACATATGGGGTACTGGAAACTTAACTGGAGTCACTAAAGAGCCACCTCTTTAGCCCCTTTCCCTTTTTGGTTTTCTAAGACAGGGTTTCTGTCGGCACTGAAACTCATTCTAGACCAGGCTGGCCCCAAACTCAGAGATGTTCCTGTCTCTGCCAGTGCTGTGATTAAAGGCCTGTGCCACCACCATCCAGCTGACCCCCTTTAACATTTATGTAGATGAGCATTCTCTCTTCACACACACACCAGAAGAGGGCACCAGATCCCATGGCTATAAGCTACCACATGGTTGCTAGGAACTGAACTTCAAGACCTCTGGAAGAACAGTCAGTGTTCTTAAACTGCTGAGCCATCTCTCCACCCAACTTTTAAAAAATTTATTACATATACAATGTTGTCTGCATGTACACCTGCACATCAGAAGAGGACACCAGATCTCATTATAGATGGTTTGAGGCACCATGTGGGAATTGAACTCAGGACCTCTAGAAGAGCAGACAGTGCTCTTAACCTGAGCCAGCTCCCCCAAACCCCACTTTCGAAGTGAAAATTGTATTACACTCTAACAGTGTGTATGCATGTGGTCAGAGATCCAACTTTACAATCAGTTCTGCTCTTTGAACCTGTGGATCCCAGGGACTGAACTCACCCAGCTTGGCACCAAGTGCCTTTACCTAAGTCGTCTCAATGACAATTTACAAAAAATCTGTGCATTGAAGGCCAGCCTGGTCTACACAGTGGGTTTCATCACAGCCAGGGCTATGTTGAGCATCCATGGATGCTCCACAGCATGCCTGTAGAGGTCAGGAGGTGTGCCCCCTCCCTGAAGGTTCTAGGTATTAAACTCAGGTCCAGCAGGCTGTGTTTGAACCCTTCACTAAGCCATCTCACTGACCCTACCAGTTTCTTAAACATGAATGCTTTTGCAGATGTCCGCAAGGGACAATACTTGCCTCAGAGCAAAGGCGAGTGGGTTCATTTAAGATTCAAGAAAATGGGGCTGGAGAGATAGCTCAGTGTGTTCAATTCTAAGCACCCTCACAGATGTACATGCAGACAAACAATGTACACGGGGGGGGGGGGGGGGGGGGGGGGGGGGGGGGGGGAGGGCGCGGCGGAGGGGGGGGGGGGGGGGGGGGGGGGGGGGGGGGGGGGGGATAAGGTTTGGTGGCAAGCTCACACCTACAAGCTGGAAGGATCAGGAGTTAGTATCATCCATGGTTACAAAGTAAGTTCACGAATAGATTACAAAAACTTGTTTCAATGCAAGGCAGAATGTCCTAGAAACAACTCCTGGAGTTTAATTAAGGTTAGGCTTGATGGCACACACCTGTAACCCTGCCAGGTGGAAGGCTAAGGCAAGATTACTACAAAATGAAACCCTGGGCTTAGGCATTTAAAAATTGCTTGCTCCCTGCTCTTCCAAAGGACCTGTTTATATTCCCAGCATCCAATCAAGTGGTTCATAATCACCTGCAATTCCAGCTTCTAAAGATTCAACATTCTTTTCTAGTGTCTGAAGTAGACACACACTACACACAAGAAAGGTGGGAGAAAGGAGTGGCTTGGTCAGTAAATGTGCTTGGAGCCGGGTCTAATCATCTAGGTTTGACCACTGGAACTCACATCCCTTCCACAACTGTAGGGACCGGAAGAGAGGAGATGGCTCAACAGTTAAAAGCACTGCTGAAGACCTCAGATCCTAAACAGCAGCTCAATCATTCCAGGGTAATTTCCAAGGGCAGTGTACATGTTGATGCATGTTCATTTTATGTACACAGCAATGCATCTATACACAGTGTATAAAATGCTGGGTGGTGATGGCCCACGTTTTTAATCCCTGCACTAGGGAGGCACGGGCAGGTGAACTGTGAATTCCAGACCAGCCTAGTAGTCTACAGAGTGAGTGTAGGACAGCAAGCACTGCAAAGAAAAACCCTGTCTGGAAAAAAACAAAAAACCAAACAAAGATGTTAAAGGCAGCTCATTCATCACAGGCTGGAGAGTGACTACCCAGCCCAGCTGCAAGGAACCCAGTACTCCCTTCTGGCCTCCCTGGGATCTAGACAAGCATGTGCTGCACATACATGGATGTAGGCAAAACACTCACACACAGAAACCAAAACAAAACCCAAAAAGGTGAGGCAAGATGGCGCCCACCTTTAATCCCAGCCCTGGAGAGGAAAAGTAAACAGATCCCTGTGAGTTCTAGGCTAGCCTGGTCTACATATGGGGAGTGCCTGATCAGCCAAGGATAGCGAGACCCCAATCTCTCTATAATAAAGACAGGATGAGTGCACCTTCAAGTGACTTATAACTCAGCACAATTAAACATTTGCTGTTAACAAGATATTCACCTTCTATATGAAGGCGGATCTCTCGAGCTGAAAACAGGGCTCCAGGCCAGTCAAGGCTACAGAGTGGGCCCACGCCTCAAAACAAACTATTCACCTTGCAGTGAAGACACCCCTCACAACCTAAAACTTAGTTTTAGGGGTTTAACATCAACTGTACAGTCCTGTCAGGTGCTCCCCTGTGACCTCAGTTCCTTAGCTATCTTTTATAGGCAGTAAGCGCAAAATCCATCAGCTGTTGTATGACTACCTGTGAGGATTCAATACAATGTCAAAGCCCCCAGACTTCCCATGAGCCACCTCACCTGGCTGGAGGTGTAGCCAGTGGCTCAGTCATGTGCTTAAGGCCCATGAAGATTAATGACACACACACACACAAATTTAACAGAATCCTTAAAACTCAAGTCTACAAAGGAAAGGGAGTCAAGCCTGACAACACAAGCTCGATTTAGACAGCATCCCAATTAACAGTAAAGGTAAGTTCTCTTCCTCAGTTCTGCTCAGAAATGGGTAAACCATACAAACATTCAGACAATATAAACATAGAATAAACACCTTTATTACATGAGCTATGAACGATGATTTATTTGCCTTTCCGGGCTTTGATTTTCCTCAGATAGAACTCCAGCTCCTTGCCCTCTAGCACATAGCCATCTGCTCGGCCACACTGGCCCGGTCTTGAGGCAATGCAGGCTGCAAGAGAATAGGTGGTCCTCAGTAAAAGGACAAGAGACTCCACACAACTTATCTGTCCCCTTAAGAAGCCCACACTGGTCTGATGACTTAGGCCAACAGTCTCCTCAGATTCACTTCATCCTCACTCTGAAGTCAGCAGCAGAACTGGACAAAGTTCTCATCACAGAGACAGCACCATCAGCTAGGACAGCTCTCCCCTACTCCCAAGCACATGCTCTATCCATGGTTCTCCTCTTTAACCTCACAGCATGTTACCAACTATGCCCAACCATGCTCTGTGCACCCCACTGTTCAAACCCCTGGCAGCCAAAACGAACCAGGGAAAGTAAACAGCCACACCACCACCTCTCGCTCCCCCAACACAGCCCACTTCTCACCAAGAAGCTTGCCCTGCTGGAACTGCTCCTCCAGGAGACTGCTGATTTTGGCGTTCTTTTTTCTTTCATCATATTTCTTCTGAATTTTCTTTGATCGTTTTTTGTTTAAAATCTCTTCCTCCTCAGGAGTCTGAAGAAAGAGAACACAAATGGATGTCACCAGGAAGGTCACCAAGCCTTCCCGAACCCCAAAATCCTGATGATTGCCTTCTTCAGCATTAAAGCATTCATCCCATTCCTTCAGTAGCAGAACTGGACAGTATTTTCATCACAAGAAGGCAGCCCTTCCCCCCAACACCCTGCGAACAGCACGCACCAGCTTGGCCCCCTTCTTGCGGCCCAGGGGCAGTGCGTAGTGGGACTCGTACCACTGGCGGTACGGTGTGCTGTCAATGAGCACGATGCAGTTCTTCACCAGGGTCTTGGTGCGGACAAGCTCGTTATTGGATGCATTGTAGACGACGTCAATGATCCTTGTTTTGCGAGTACAACCTGCACAGAGAAAAATCACGATAAAGGCGGTGAGGCATTTGCTCAATGGGTACCAGGCCCAAATCTGATATCCAGCGCGCGCATGCGCACACACGCACAAACAATGCAGCTGGCTCTACCTCCCACCCACAGGTAAGGCAAAAGGGAAAGAATTCCCAGCCTGCTGCCCAAGCTCTTCTCCCAGCCCATTTATTTTCTCGTTGCAGAGATTGTCTGTAAAACCACCCAGGTGGCAGGAATTACAAGACCAACGGGATCAGGATCAGACAGATCGGAAAGAATTCAATTGCCTCAAGGTCTTTCAGTAAGGAACAAACTCAAATAACCCCAAAGGCCTACTTACACTCAGAGCCCCAGGAAAAGTTCCCCACATCCAATCTCAAGGCACGGTACTTCTTATTGCCTCCTCGAACTCGGACTGTGTGGATTCGACGAGGGCCAATCTGGAAAACCGAAGACCAGAACATGGTCATCAAGAAGAGAGGGGGCGGGGAGAGATACATGAACTGCAGAGGTAACAGTCAGTGTAACTATGACAAGTCCTTCCATTGGCAAGTGGCATAGAGGTGACCAAGACGGCCAATACCACGCCTAAGGATACTTTTTCATCACTCTGGTTACCTCCAAAAGAAAATAAACCAGACCCCCTCAAACACAGGAAGAATCCCAGTAGAAGTACATGTAGTACTTTCAAGGAGCCCATTCCTAGGCGCCCTTCCAGTCCTGGAACCCAGCCATGTCGCTGTTAGACCCTGAGCTCTGGGACAAGATCTTACTCGGCACGTGGACACGTACAGCACGCTCAGTCCCCAACACAAGAGGAATCAGGGCCTAGTAAAGCGACCACGCAACCACGCGGGAACGCAGGGAAAGGCGGCCTCCTACCGAGGGGGTCCCGACCCCCGCACCCACCTTCGTGTTGGCGGCAGGCCGTCCCAGCTCATACTTCCGCTTCTTGTGATAGGGCTTTCTCTTACCCCCGGTCTTACGGCGCTTGTGCCAGTTGTCCCGAGAGATGCCTGCGTGTGGGAGCGAGGGCGCATGAGCCACCGGGGCTCGGTGCCGGCGACTCAGCCAGCTCCCGAGCCGCACGCCGCGCGGGCCGCACGCTCAGCTCTCCAAGGTTGGCTTCCCCACGCCTCAGTCGGGAGTGTGCAGCATACCCAGGTGTCATCATCCGCGTGCGGCCCGCGGCAGCCATGTTGGGAGGCTCGCAACCCGGAGCCCGGGAAGCGGCCGCGGCGACCTCGGCGGCCCAGCGGCCAAAGCCGGCCCTCCCCATGCATGCTCGTGGCCCACGGGCGGGCCGAAGGCGCCCCCGACCGGGCTGCGGGGCACGATGGAGACGGATGGAGCTCGCGCCCCACGGCCCGACCGGGCCCGCAGCAACACTCACCCATCGCTCGGCGCTGGCTGGAAAGAGGAAGCGCAAAGCTTCACGGTCCGGTTTCTAAAACGCAGCCCCGCCCTCCTTACGCTTCTTCCGGCTTCCGGGAAGGAGCTCGGGCCTCCGCCGTCCTGGGTCGCCGGCGCTGGGCACGCTCCTGCGCAACGCGTGCGGACCGCGCCTCCGGGGGTCCTGGGCGGACTGGGGGGCTGTGCACTGAGCTGACGTGATGGGGCACAGCGGACGGCCGCTGGGCTTACGCCTTGCCCTTTATAAAAACTTTTTTTTTTTTTTTTGAGACGGGGTAGCCTAGATTGGCCCCCGGTAACCTTGATTAAATCCTCCAGTTTCTACCCGCCGATTGCCGGAATTAAAGGCGGTGTGTGAATGTGGGGTTTTTTGTTCCTTTTTTTTTTTTTTTTTAAGTTTGTTATTTTTAAAATTGCACTTGTCAGGGTATGTTGCACGCCTTTAATCTTTAATCCTAGCTCCCTGGCGGCCGAGGCAGGTGAGTTCTAGGACAGCCAGGGCTTGTTGCACATTAAGCGCACTGGTTTATCTTCCAGAGATCTGGTGCCCTCTTCTGGTGTGAAGGCGAAAAGCAGACAGAATATTGCATACATAAATAAATAAATAAAATAAGGTGCACGCCCTTAATCCCGGCACTTGGGAGGCGGAGGCAGGTAGATCTCTAATTTCGAGGCCAGTCCGGGCTATAGAGTTTGTTCTAGGAGAGCCAGCTCTACACAGAGAAACCCTGTCTCGAAATCAAAATAATACTAATAAAAAAAATTACATTTATCGCTGTGTGGGGGGCCTTGTGGCTGTAGCAGAAGGAGTTGGTTCGGTTCCCTCCTGCACCGTGGGACCCAGGGTCTTTCGTTTTTCGTGCACGCTGCTGCTGGGAACAGAAGTCGTTGGGTACCAGGGAACCACTCTACCAAATCAAGAATACATTTATTTCTTAAACTGTTAAAAAATGATTCGTTTTCATTTTGTGTGCACTGATGTTTGGCATGCATGTATGGCTGTGTTACACACGGCTGTGAGCTATGATGTGGGTGCTGAGAATTGAACCCTGTCCTCTGGAAGGACTCTTAGCCGCTAAGCCCTGGAATACATTTATGATGAGAAGGAAATAGTATAGACACAACTACTCGATTCGGTCTAGTCAAAGCAGGTACAGAAAGTGGTAACTATGGGGACAGCCAGAGGGCTCGGCAGTGAGGGTTCCTGCTGCCAAACCTGAAGTTAGATCCTCCAGACTTACATAGTGAAAGGAGAGGACAGACTTTGGCAACAATAAAATAGTGAATGAATGGTTGTGTCGTTAAAAAAAAACTTGGATCTGAGTTTCATGTAATTCTCATGTTCGTGTATTATGTCTTAAAAATATGTTCCTGAACTAAGGGCCCCACAGACCAGACAAAACCAAAATGGGTTCTAACTCAAGTGCTGTAAAGGTTCAGTACTCAGCAGTAGAATAAATACATGCTTTTTAATAAATTTGTATTTATTATGTATACAGTGTTCTGCCTGCACATCAGAAGAGGGCACCAGATATCATTACAAATGTTTGTAAGCCACATGTGGGTGCTGGGAATTGAACTCAGGGCCTCTGGAAGAACAGACTGTGCTCTTAACCTCTGAGCCATCTCTCCAGCCCCTCTCCCCCTTTTAAGGCAGGAGTTAGCTAGGTGTGCTGATACATGCCTTTAAGCTGAGGCAGGCCAATTGCTGTGAGTTCTAAGGCCAGCCCGGTCTAAAAAGAGAGTACAGGACAACCAGGGCTACACAGAGAAACTGTCTCAAAAACATGAAAAACAAACGAAATGTAAAGGTATGGATTCTCTGTGTAATACTGAAACTTGCTCTGTAGACCATGCTGGCCTCAGATGTAGATACTCGCCTGCCACCGTCTCCTGAGTCCTGGAATAGAAAGTGTGGGCCACCACACCTGAATCCTTTGTTTTGGCTTTTCAAGACAGGGTTTCACTGTGCAGCCTTGGCTGTAGACCAGGCTGGCCTCAGATTTATAGATCTGCCTGCCTCTGCCTCCCCCACCCCCCAGTACTGGAATTAGAGATGTGGGGTGCCACTGTCCAGCCTTTGTTTGCTTTTTAAAATGATATCTCTCACTCTTTAGCCTAGGCTAGCCTCAATGCAGGGATTAGAGGCTTGCACCACCCTGTCAGCCCAGACTGTGAGGTCCTCTGGAATTGGAATTACAGGAATTAATTGTGATCACCTAACACCATGGCCCAGTGGATAAAAGTTCTTGAAGGGACCAGAGCTCAGTTACTAGCAACAATCTTTCCAAAACTAGAACCATTTGTTCGCTTTTGTTTTGAATTTAATTTTCAGATTGCTTATTGCTGCCCAGCCAGAGGTCCACATGAAGTTTAGTGTGGTCATATACAGGATCCAATCCACCTGTGAGTAGAGAGCCAGAATGTCTACTCTTCCAATTAGGAACATGAAGTGGAAGTTTCTGGTTTCTTTGAAATTTTGTTCTGTGATGTTTTGCTGCAAGCTGGGCACATGCTGTTTTGCCCAGGTTGGCTTGTGAGAGGTCAGTGATGTCTTGCTGTAAGCTCTCACACACAAGGGGAATGGCTTTGGCCAGCTGTGAATGTCCCTGATGGACTCTGAGGAGAGGAGACATACAGAGGTCCACCCACAGGAGACATGGATTTTTGGATCGACATTGCTGTGCTGATCTTCATGCTTTGACACTTGACTTTGCAGAGAGAAACATTTCAGAGAACTTCCTGGGGCAATCCAACTGAGTCTTGCAGCTTTCCCTGACTTCCTTGTTGCTGCTTGGGATTATCCTTCAGGCTGGACTGCTGGTACCCTGATTACTGAGTTTGGTAATCCCCTAAAGACCCATTGACACTGATCAACAGGAGGTAGAGAAAAGAGGTCTACAGCCCTGTCCCTATTAATCTCCTACCTAAGGTTGGGGAATAGAGGGTAAGGGTGTTTAAGAACCCTAAATAAAGTAGGTTTGGGGGAAAATCAAAGTCTACAGGACCCTTCTTTTTCTTGCTGAACATCCCTGGGAAGAATAATGCAATTGTGAGTGGAAATACTAAGAGAAAGTAACTTTCCTTGAGCCAGGCCTAGAGGTACAGGCCTATAATCTCAGTTACTAAGGAGTCTGAGGCTGAAGGATTTCAGGTTCAGGGCTAGCCTAGGTACCTCAGTAAGTCCTTACTCAAATATATGAAGAGGTAGTAAAGGCTGCTGAGATGGCTCAGCAGGCAGAGGTGCCTACAAGCCTGGTGATTGGAGTTTAACCCCCAGACCCAGGTAAAGGCGGAAGGAAAGAACCACCTCCAAAAGCTGTCCTGACCTCCACGCCTCACGGGTGCCTGTGGCCACTCTCTCACACACACACACAATCCTTCTGTTTCTGCGCTGCAGCACTGTGCTTACAAACTTGGCTTTTTTTGTTTTTATTTTTTTAAAGATTTACTTAAACCTTAAATGGTGGCGCACAACTTTAATCCCAGCACTTGTGAGGCAGAAGCAGGTGGATCTCTAGTTCGAAGCCAGCCTACAGAGCAGAGTTCCAGGACAACCAAGGCTACACACATAAAAACCCTGTCTCAAACCCCCCCCCCCCCCAAAAAAATGTACTTTTTTGTTTGTTTGTTTGTTTTGAGACAGGGTTTCTCTTTGGAGCTGTGGCTGTCCTGGAACTGGTTCTGTAGACCAGGCTGGCCTTAAACTCGAAAAGATCCACATGTCTCTGCCTCCTGAGCGCTGGTATTAAAGGCGTGCGCCACCTCTGCCTACGAAAATGTATTTTATGTATTTTTTTTTTTTTGTATTATTTACTATTTATACCGTTTTCTGCCTGCATGTATGCCTGCAGGCCAGAAGAGGGCACCAGCTCTCACTATAGATGGTTGTGAGCCACCATGTGGTTGCTGGGAATTGAACTCAGGACCTGTGGAAGAGCAGCCAGTGCTCTTAACCCGAGTCATCTCTCCACCTTCCTTTATATATGTCCACTGTGTACACGCCTGATGCACATGGTCAGATGGCATCAGATCCCTGCCGCTGGAATCACAGAGGGCTGTGAACCACCATGTGGGTGCTGAAAACTGAATCCCGACTCTCTGCAAGAGAATGTTCTCAACCGCTGAGCTCTCCAGTCCCACACCTGAATGCAGGATGCAAACTCAGTTCCTCCTGGCTGCACAGCAAGCTCTTACCCACTG